TTTGTTTTCTCTTACCTACAAATATTGATAGATAAGTAAAAATTCAAGACTATAGAAGTAATAGGTATAAAATGTTTTAGGATTCCACTTCCTTTCCTTTATAAATATTCCTAAAAATCTTGTGCAGTGTTTACTCTGCATGTGGTACCCTTCAATTTGAGGGGTTCCCCTGGGATGTTCATAGAAATCTGTTGCAGAGTCTTTATAATTCACTTCACATCATTTGCACTGTTTTTGTTTCCTTTTTTCATCTCTTAGCAAATATTTTGCTATAATTCACCATCATGCCAAGAAGCTGACCCAGTTACGAAAAATGCTACGAGAAGGCAGAAATGCCTCTTTGTCCCTTGGGCAGCATCTGGAGTTTCTACTGACCCAAGATATCCCTGAAATCTACCGGGCTCAAGGCCACATAGAACATCTGACTGTGGGGTGCAAGATGGCTGAGGAGTTTGTCCTGAAGCTCAGTGCAGGTGAGAGTAATACACATCCTGATGAAAGGGCCCTGAAATTGGAGGATCGATATTTCTCAAAAAGGTGGGGGAAGTTCTGGCCAAATCGACAATGTATAATGTGCCTAAAGAGAGTCACATGGAGAGAAAACATTGTCTCAGGCTGTCACAGAGAGCAAATTGGTCAAGCAATGGCCATGAATCATCTACATGGCTGACTCTAACAAAGGATCTACATACTGCGGTACAGGGTTTCAGGGTAAATCCTGAGGAGATTTGACTGACATTGGCAGATAGAGAAGTTACATTTCTTGTTATATAGGTCTTGCTTTATCTTGGTCTTAACCATCCATCAGAAAAGTATAAAAACCAGGTTAAAAAGTAAAGCCATATTGATATGCTGGGCTACAAAAGACTTAAGTCAACAAATTCTGACATTGCCAGCTCTATGGATAACCCACTACTATTATGGACTACTGGATTATATTGGATTATTTTGCTGAATTTGTGTACCTACAATACATGAATGGTGATGGAATACACATCTCTGGCAAAACTAAACAAAAAAGGGGAATATAAATGAAGGACCA